TAACGATCGCTATCACTAGCACTTGATTCACTTTTAGATAGAAAACTAGCTCATCTTTTTCTAGGAGCTGTATGATGAAGATCTTCGTCTTCACTGCTCGAAAATTCAATCCTATTAGCTTGATTCTCTATTTCATATAGTTCAGTATCAAATGCATCAGATTCGATATCTGATTGGTTTCCTCTTATTTGGGTCAGTTTTTTTCGCAATTCAAGATCTCTTACATTTTTTGTCATAATAGCAACCCTTATCTAGAACTAAAATATTTATCTACATTTACGTAAATACATCTTATAAATAAATTTTGATATTATCTTGGTACGCAAAAATTCTTGAAAAATAATTTATAAAATTTATTTCTTTTTTTTTTGTTTTACCAAAAATGCATTATTCTCTCCGATGCCATAAATCGAAATGGAAGAACACGAAGAATTTTGTATCAGAGCTTTCATAAAAGCCTTCAACAGAAAAGACTCGGAACAAATAATTTCACAATATTGAACGTGCAAATTTACAACAGATATCTAACTAGAAAATTTACAAGTTTGAACATGAAAACTATCGAATCAGATTGTTTACAAAAAATTTCTATAGACAAGAAATAAGTTACATGTGGGTAAAACGACCAACTTTAAAAATATTTAATGAATCAATTTGACTCACATCCGTCAAAATAGGTATAGCACATATGGATTTTGGTAACTAAGGAGGGGGGAGAGAAAGGAATTAGCATTTCTATACATTTCATAATTTTATTAAAAAATAAATTATTTAAGTTTTTCTATATATATATAGCAATGAAATCGTAAATGAGTCAAATTGACTCGTTCCGGCAATCTAGTGTTAAATTATTTAAGTGAGGTGTTGTTCGAAATATTCGTGACAAATATCAATTTATTGTTCTAATACTGTACTGTTACTTTTTCATTGAGCAGGTACTCAAGGGATTGAGTTATTTACGTGACAAGCATGCTATTATGCACCGAGATGTAAAACCAAGTAATATATTAGTTAATAGCGCTGGAGAGATTAAGATTTGTGACTTTGGAGTCTCCGGACAATTGATTGATTCCATGGCTAACTCATTTGTTGGTACCAGAAGTTATATGTCGGTATGTTAAATGCATGTTTACGCATTAAAAGAAAAGCTGATTACTGTATAAATAGTAGCTGTAATATTTTAATTTTCTGATTTCAAGCCAGAAAGGTTGCAAGGTACTCATTATTCTGTACAAAGTGACATTTGGTCCCTTGGCCTGTCACTCGTTGAAATGGCCATTGGTATGTATCCAATACCTCCTCCGGATGCAAAAACTTTAGCTTCAATTTTTGGCTCGCAATTATGCCAGACTCCTAAGGAAAACGCAGCGACAAATAGTCTTTCCACCCCAATGACGCAATCACCAACTCACAGTAAGTTTTCCAAACCAAAGAATTCAGAAGTCTCCATAGAAGCCCAGACCCACTGAACACCAAACCTAACAGTTATGTAATTTAAAACTAACAAATAACATAACGTTTGTTACAATGTAATAACCTAACAGTTACGTCATTTAAAACTAACTAGTTACATGACATTTGTTACAATGCAGTAACTTAACAATTATGTAACATGGAACTAATAGGTTACATAACGTTTGTTACTATCATATCTATATAAATGTAGCGTAACCTTGTTACTCTCATCTTACATTATGTTACTGTCCTGGTATTACTGTGTATATGCAGCACATATTTGTAACAAAACAGAACTACATTGGTGCTGTCATTTATTTTATTACATCATCGTCATCGTCATTGTCATAATTCATCGTCAAATATCATAGGATTAATACATGTCATATTTTGTTTGCTACTCGTATGAAAAAATGTGACTTTAATTCATACGCGTATATACATTATCAGTCATTGTTTGCTAGTCGAATGAAATCCTAATTGTCTTTAAATAAAATCAGATAGTTCATCATTACATAATTTCATTGAAAGTCTGATTTGTCATTTAATATCTAACTATTGTCAAGTACCANTTAAAGAAATTATTATATCTGTGAGATTTTCAGCTAATAAGTTACCTAACCTTATTAACTGCAAAATTTCCAGTAATATTAGATCATTTTTTCTTAAATAACAATTTCTGAATTTCATTCAATTTAAATTTATGGCGGGAAATTTGCTAGTTCATACTTCCGGTACTATTGATCCAGAGGTCGCTGCAAACACTGGTCTCGAAGAATAACATGCGAGTGTCAGACCCCTGATCTTCTCTCTGGTGTTACCCTCCAATACATGGAAGTGTCACCCCCTGCTATTTAACGATGAAACAAGAAAAGTCGTCCAGATAACCTTGTTTTTGTAGTTAGTGCAATTTTTCTTACAACAAAATGTTACGTTCTGTCGTCTCCAGATATTTGATGATCTGTCACTGAGCATTTCCTAGACAGTCAGTAACCTGTGTAGATCGAATCATTAAGAGAATCCGGTGCAGTGACAGACTGTCACTTGACAGCTTGATTTAACCGAATCGCGTACAGCTATAAAAAAGACGCTAAAAAAGACTATACGCCAGCACGACGAATAAAGTTAAATAGCTACAAAAGTTGATCGTAGTAACTAGAATAAGGCAAAATTATAAACATTTTCTGAAAATCTTTTAACTCGTGTGAATAATCCTTTTTTGCAACAGAACTTGTTCCTTTTTACATCGCCTTTGCAAGGGGCTTTAATTGTTTTCTTCCGGCCAATAAAGTCAGACAAATGTCAAAAAACAAATTGAACCTGACGCTACCACCTGGTTCCATCGAGCCAGTGCCGGCAGTATCGCCTTCGCCACCAGTTCCGCCACTTCCTACATATTCCGAACCTTCGGTAATACCAGAGTAAGTATGAACAACGATCGTTCAATACATTTTTCCTGTTTATTGCTTTGGAGTAAATAATTCTTTTGCTATTATTAACTTTTTATTTTTTTTTCCGGTTACAGTGGTGTAATGGGTAAAATGAGTATAGATGCGATTCAGGAAAGATTGGAAGAACTGGAAATGGACGAAGAACAACGTAAAAGATTGAAAAGCTTTTTAGGCCAAAAGGAGAAAGTTGGAGAACTATGCGATGAAGATTTTGAAAAACTTGGAGAATTAGGTGCTGGTAACGGTGGCGTCGTAATGAAAGTCAGACATAAAAAATATGGATTAATCATGGCAAGAAAGGTAATTTTCCATATGATGCCGTGGGATTAATATTTGGTTGCACGTATGAAAAGGCTATAGGTTATTCATTTTGTAAGCATATTTTACCAGGATTATAAACATTATCATCTCTTTGTTTAGTTGATTCATTTGGAGGTCAAACCAGCTATAAAGAAACAAATTATTAGAGAGTTAAAAGTTCTTCACGAATGTAACTTTGCGCACATAGTTGGTTTCTATGGTGCATTTTACAGGTATAGTCTTTCAAAGCATAATATGTAATGATATAAGTACACTCATTTTTATACTTTTTATCTCAAATATGTTTTGTTGTTAATTAGTGATGGTGAGATCAGCATATGCATGGAATACATGGATGGTGGATCGTTGGATCTTATATTGAAAAAAGCAGGAAGAATACCTGAGCCTATTTTAGGAACCATTACTTTGGCGGTACGTAAATTACTGTGTATTATTCTATCGTTATTATAAACTTCTGTCAATTAGAAGTTATATTTTTATTTATTGTCTAACCTTATATAATTCATTCAATGAGTAACAAATTTACTGTACAGTAGAAGTAAGGAGAATATTTGCCACTGATACATTGTACAAAGGTTTATCAGTTTCTATTATATAGTCTATTTGAATATGTAGTTATATAGATATATCTGTGACTAAAAGATCAGTCAATTTAAATTGACTTCGCATTAAAGACTAGTTTGATGTCCAATTTACGTGCTTCTAAAGAGATAGTATTATTTTACTTTGTAGCTAAAAAAGTATGAATTTCATTTAGATCGTACAAAAGTCGGATTATCAGTAATAGGTTTCTTTTTCAACGCATCCATTTGGATATATACGAATTATTAATCTTCTGATTTCATCGTAAACCCAGAGAAATATGGCGTATGGTAAGCAAGGCCAATACCAAAAGGCATCTAAAGGCATTGTTTTTATAACCTTATTCATTCCTGGTACGTAAAGTAAAATCCCTGTAAGAACAACTTCAAATACAATTGAAAAATTAAGAAACCAGTTATTCATTCCTTGTTGGAAAATGGAGTTACGCCTGGTCTTGCAAATGATAAGATCTACCATTTGTAGAATGACGATAGATATGAAGTAACCAGTACGTGCTTCGTTGAGTAGATCCATTCTATTTTTATAATTCCAGGTTTGACCATAAGAATCCACCAGATCATTAATCGATTTAGAATCCCAAGCTTTTCTTAAACCAAACAGATCCTTTGGAAGAAATCCATTGAAAGCAAGAATAACGAAGTAAGAGTAGAAACCTGCGACTGCTTGAGTCATTCCAATCTGTCCATAGGTCATGGATATTAATCTCTTGTTGACAAGCTTGTCATATTGTGGATTTCTTGGAGCTCTTTTCATGATATCAGATTCTGGTTTTTCATACGCTAAAGCTATTGCAGGTATTAGATCAGTACCCACATCGACACATAACACCATCTCGATAACAAATGGCAAAGGAATTGACATTATTATGCTAACGAGTATAGGTAACATCTCCGGAACACTGGAAGTCAATGTATACGCTATGGATTTCTTCAGATTGTCAAAGATCAATCTACCTTCTTCGATCCCAATTACGATAGAGGCAAAGTTGTCATCCATCAGAATCATGTCGGCAGCATTCTTTGCAACGTCAGATCCAGTAATACCCATGGCGATGCCAATATCAGCCTTCCTTAATGCTGGTGAATCGTTGACACCATCTCCAGTGACTGCTACGACTTCTCCTAATCTTTGACAGCTTTCTACTATCAACAGTTTCTGTTGTGGTGAAGTGCGTGCAAATACAATCTCCCCATAGTTTCTCAGGATACGGTCTAAGTCTTCGCTGCCCATGTTCCTAAGTTCTCCACCTGTGACTACGATTGCTAACTGCTGCTCGTCTTCTGTAATCTGAGAATAGGATTTATTAAGCAAAAGTGCTTTCTCGTACCTAGTTTCGTGACCTTCTCCGATGATTCCAACCTTCTTAGCAATAGCCATTGCAGTAACAGGATGGTCTCCCGTGACCATTATTACCTTAATACCAGCAGTGCGACACTTGTGTACCGCATCTGGGACTGTTGCCCTTGGAGGGTCTATCAAACTTATCAATCCTACAAACCTATAGCCCTTCACCGGGAAATTATATTCTTCCGGTCTCTCTGTATTAAATTCATACTTAGCTCCATAAGAAGAATTAGAAAGCGCGAGGTCGCAATATGCAAGGACACGTTCTCCAAGGTATCCTAATTCCATACATGTCTTTCTAATCTCAGACAGATCCATAGGAGTCATCGATGCAGTCTGCCCATTGAGTTGTAATACTGAATTGCAAAAATCTAGGACAACCTCGGGTGCCCCCTTCATTACCAAGACATACCCATCGACGTCCAGGTGTATAGACAGCTGATACTTCGCAGTCGAATTGAAGGGAATTTCCGCAACTTTGGCATGCTGACTGCGGAATTTCCTCGTCTCGTGAATGTGTTCACAAAATTTGAGGATCCCCGTTTCGGAAGCGTCGCCAAGAACTTCGCGCTCTTCTACGCGCAGAAATATAGATGAATCTGCTTTGAACTCAGCTCTCAGACAGAGTGTGGCATCCTTGATGAGCACGTTAAATGCCGGCTTCTCCAAAAGAAGATCCCTCTCAGCGCCCAGTTGTTGATCAGAGGGTACCTTATATCGTACACCACCGACATTTAGATGAGATACCGTCATCTTATTTTGCGTAAGCGTGCCCGTTTTATCCGAACAGATGATGGATGTGGAACCAAGAGTCTCCACTGCTTCGAGGTTTTTCACCAAGCAGTTTTTCTTAGCCATCTTCTTGGCGGTCAACGTAAGACTCGTTGTCACCGTAACGAGCAACACTTCGGGTACATTGGCTATTAAAATCCCTACTAAATATGTAAACGCTTTTATAATGCTAGACTCCATGGCTAGTGATAATATGAAAAAGAAACAACCACAGAGGATGGCCATGCTGACGATGATGTTAACAAAGTGAGCTATTTCCTTGGCGATTGGAGTGTCCGTTTTTTTAAGCTGTGCCGTTAAAACTGCCAGACGACCAATCATCGTCTTGTCGCCTGTTGCGATGGCTATACCTTTACCCTCCCCAGCTACTGCGAAGGAAGAGAAAAATGCAATATTTTTCGATTCTAAAGGGTTATTGTCAGTGGGATATTCCGTACGACTCAATGGCTCGCTCTCTCCGGTGAGGCTTGAATTTTCTACCCTGAGACCCGTGCTTGCGATGATCCTAATGTCTGCAGGAATCTTGTCCCCGATACCGATCTCTATTAAATCACCTATCACCACTTCTTCGGTAGGTATTTGCATTCGCTTCCCATCTCGGATGACGACGGCAAAGGAAGGAACCATTTGAGTGAACGATTCCATGATCTTGGCGTTTTTCGTTTGTTGGGTGTAACTGAAGAGACCCGATATTATGCATATTGTACAGATTATTACACCTAGCCACTCGATACCTGCCTCTTCCTCGTGGTGCATCAATTCGCCTACGGCATACAATATGAAACATAATCCTCCACATCCCCATAGTAGGCCTGCGAAACCTTTAAACGTGCAGCTCAGGAACTTTATCCATTCCGGAGTGACTTTGGGTGGCGTTAAGGAGTTAGGTCCATCTTGTAGCAAAATTTCGGCAGCTGTTTCTTCACTCAATCCCCTGGTTAGATTTGTTTTCAATTTTTGGCAAAGCACTCGAATTGGGATCGTATGATCTTTCGTCTCGAATTCCGCGTGGAGAGCATCGAGTTCTTCCTCGTTGAGCTTCTTTTTGTGGACGTGCATCGAAGATGCACGCTTCAGCTGTGAAACTTTGGATACAGTGGGCTGCATCTTATAGATATCTGAGCTATCACTTATCTACGAAATATACAAATTAAGTTATTTTTTGGCAAATAACTTGCCAATGGTGCAATTAGTATACATGCTTCTGGTTTGGTGAACTGTTTTGTTTCATCGCCAACTCGATCAAACGGGGCATACTTTAAACAGGATGTTTTTTTAATACGTATTCTTGTCAACGAATACCTTTGTTTAAAGAGTATTTCAAAGGCATGAATTAGGTATTAAAAAAGAAAACAAATATCTCGTCTAACGATATAAGAATTAACACGAGATTGCCGGATGTTGGGTATGTACCTATTTTGCCTGAAATGAGTCAATTTTACTCAAACATTAAAATTGAGTTTAAAAAAAATAACATTTTATTTTAATGAAACTTTATTCAAAACAATTGTTACATATATATTCTGGAAGCGCTCTTTAC